ATAATCTGTGAGTACACAGCAGATTGGATTTGACACATCCCAAACAATACCACCATTTTGAGGCTTCATCCTTTTTACTTCTTAAAGGAAGTCTGAGGCAAGAAGAGGCAATGACATTTGTGACATTTGTGACATCTGGGCAGATGAGTTTTTTTCTTCTCTCCCACCTCTCTCCACCTCCTCCCTTCCCTCTCTCGTTGTTTGCAAACAGAGGAGAAAAAAACAAAGAGAAAACATATAATTATGAACAAAGAGAAAAGCATTTGTTTTGGTTTTTTTGTTTGTTTGGTTTGTGTTTGTTTTTGAGAAAAAGCACAAAAGGGGGAGAAGCAGAGAGAAAGAGGGAGACAAAGAATCTGAAGCAACCTCCAGGCTCTGAGCTGTCAGCACAGAGCCCAACGCTGGCTCGAGCTCACAAGCTGTGAGATCATGACCTAAGCTGAAGTCTAGATCGTGACTTGAGACAAGGTCAGATGCTCAACTGACCGAGCCACCCAGGCACCCCTGCATTTTTCAGCTTTTTATCGAGCACCTTATGTGACATTATGCTATGTCACAGTATCCAAAGCACATACTTTGCCTTCACTGAGTTTAGCTGGGAGTGGGGTGGAAGGGATATAGGCCAGAAGTCACTCTTCCATTGTAGTGCGAAGTTACATGGCAAGTAAATGTCTCATAGTCCTCAAATATCTACACAAAATAATATGTACCTAACTGTCCTCTTCCTTAATAGGTCAGACGCCATCTAAAGATCACTATTACTTTACCAGCAGCCAATTTATAGAAAAATTGGGGAAATTAATTTCTTTCATGACTACCTCATTAATAAAGATGAGCATTTAGGAAATATTTCTCATTTTGTGGACTTCTACTCTTTGTTTTGTCCTAATCACTCCTATGGGATGTCATTTTTCCTATTAGCCACTTTTATGTCAGCCAATGTTTGCTATATTGAGTCCAACAATGAATTCTCCTGGATGGATATATTTATCCAAAGTTCACTGCCAAGAGTTTTTTTTTTTTTTAATTTTAAATTTTATTTTATTTTTTGAGAGAGAGAGAGAGAGAGAGGGCATGCGCATGTAAGCAGGGGAGGGGCAGAGGGAGAAGGAGAGAGAGAATCTCATGTAGGCTTCATATCCAGTGCAGAGCCCAATGTGGCACTAGATCCCATGGTTGTGAGATCATAACCTGAGCTGAAATCAAAGGTCAGAAGCTCAACCGACTGAGCCACCCAGGTGCCCCAAGAGCTTTTTTCTTTTTTAAACACCATTTCCTGTCTTCATCACTACTCAGCAAGTACCCTTAAATTACTACTCATGATCTCTTAGTAAACGTCTGCTTTCTTCCAACAATATAGAATGTATCTCTATAATAAACCAAATGGTCTACTTTATATCCGTACTCCTTTCCAGTTCACTTTCAAAAATAAAAGCAGGAACCTTCTTTAATAACTTTGAAACTAAGCCCTCTGCTGTACCTGTGAGACTGGTTTTGTATGACACTTGAGAGTTTAGGGATGCAATCTGTATCTAACAAATGAATTCTGCATCTTTTGAAGCTACCTTGCTCATTTCCTTTAGCATACTCTGTTAACAGCATGAAACTATGTTTCTATAGCTCTCCCATCTTTAAAATGTTTGTATATGCCACATTCTATGGACAATTTCGGTTGACATATCTATCATCCCTATCAGTGTGCAAGTTCCTGAAGAGCAGGGATACCATTTGTGTCTCAGATACAAACAGGATCCCTAGTGAAAATACGGGATCTAAGAGGAAATCCAACTTTGCTTCTGTAAACCTGATCGTATATAAAGTTGTGTATTACATAAATTGTTCCTGCTAACTCTCTTTTTCTGTTTAGTGGTCTCTTTTCTTACTGGGTTCATGGCCAAGTCTGCTATAGAAGAAGTCTACAGTTTTGACATTCCACTTGACAACAGCAATACAGATACCTTCCCACATCCAATAGAAACGTATCCACCTCCTTCCTCCTACAGACCACTTACACAATTAGTTCTGAGGCCAAATACTTTCTGTGTATTATATTAGTCAATCCTTTCAAGAATCCTAAAAAGTATATAGCATTGCCATTATATAGAATAGAAGGTTAGTTCCCTCAGGCTTGTATAGTGAGTAAATAAATGTTGGAGGCTGGGATTTGCCCTTACGACTGTCCAACTCCAAAATCCATGCCTTTTCCAATTTGTCTTGCAGCCTCCATTCTTTCTAAGTCCTGATCATCTGAAAGCCATTTATGTATTCTAAGTAAACTAGTGCATATAGAGTATCCTTCCCAGATCATTATCAAATTGTCTCTTTTCATGGTTTACTTACGAAAACATGGTTTTGACAATAGAATTGTGATTGGAGGCGAGAATAAAAGACAGAGCTAAGGAAAAGGGCAACATTGGTCCAAGAGGGCCTGCGTTGTGAAAAGCGGCCATGACAACTCCCACACTTAAAATTCTTTAGTGGTGGGGTGCCTGGGTGGCTCAGTCAGTTAAGTGTCCGACTTGTGATTTTGGCTCAGGTCACTATCTCACAGTTCGTGAGTTCGAGCCCCTCATCAGTTTCTGTGCTGCCGGCCCAGAGCCTGTTGGGATTCTCTCTCTCCCTCTCTTTCTCTCTCTCTCTCTGCCCTTCCCCTGCTCATGCATGCTCTCGCTTTCTCTCTGCCTCTCAAAATAAATAAAATTTAAAATATTTTTTAAAATAAATAAGAATTCAATAAAAGGACACTTTTAAAAATTCTTTCGTGGTTCCCCATTGGCTTTTATTTGTTTAATACATAATTAGTGGGTCCCTACGAAGTCCCAGCTACTGTTCACCAGAGGAAAGTAGACAGAACAGCTGCCCTCATGATGCTTACATTATAGGGAGGTGATGGAGAGTAAAAACAGATAAATGTAGCATACTGTGATAGGTAGGCATGGAAAAACAGCACAGGTTAAGAAGTCTGGGAGTGTCTTCCTTGTAAAGTCCAAACGAAAGTTTGGAGCAGACAAAAGCTTTCACCATTTGGTCATCATCTACTGTATGCCACAGTAAAAACTACACTCAGTCTTTCCGAAGTTCTTTTTGCCTTGTGCCCCCACTCTAACCGTTCTTCAGTCTTCTGAGTAGTGGACACATCATTTCTTTCATGACATCCTTGAATTTTTCCTCTGGCACCTCCAGATTCTTCTTTGTATGCCGGAGCATGCTGAACTTCCATAATAGCATTTATCACAGACCGTGTTGTCATTTCCCACTGTCAATATCTGTCTTCTTCAAACAGACGACAAACTCACTGATGCAAGAGCCATGCTATTTCACCTTAAATCTGTGACACTTAATACCAAGCCTGGCAGGGAGTAAACATTCAGTAAATACTTCATGAAGGATGGGAATGCATGCTCAGATGAAATAAGGCCATTTAAGCACACAAGATTATCAAAGACCATCATGAATGAAAGAAAATAAGCCTATTGTGTATACTTGTACTGAATACCTATTAAACCATGTACCAAGTTGACAGGATAATCACTGTTCAAAGGTTACCTTTTTATAAAGCATAAGTCGAACAAACTGTCAAGATGAAATGGCTAAAATCCGTAGTTCTGTGCTTGAGACAGACAAATACACTTAAGATACTACATTTTAAAAGATAAAGTTTATTACCAGGGCACCTGGGTAGCTCAGTCGGTTAAGCACCCGACTGTGATTCAGGCTCAAGTCATGATCTCCCCGTTTGTGAGCTCAAGCCCCATATTGGGCTCTGTCCTGACAGTGTGAAGCCTGCTTGGGATCGTCTCTCTCTCCCTCTCTCTCTGCCTTCCTGTGCTCTGTTTCTCAAAATAAATAAATAAAAACTTTTTAAAAAGATAGTTTATTACCATAATAATTTCTTGACATGTTTATTACAAATTACAAACTACTTATAAAGACATTCATTTGCAGTGAATTGGCATTATTTAAATCTTCACTTGTCTCAGTGGAAAACTGGCCTGTAAGTGTTATAGGCCTTACATTCAGTCTTTGATAGATTGAGCCAAGAATATAGCAGATACCTGTTACTTCTACATATACATTCTCTGTATGTAAGATATTTGCTATAGATTCATGGCAATTAGAAGATGCAAAGTTGGGGAGCACCTGGGTGTCTCAATCGGTTAAGCAACTGACTTCGGCTCAGGTAATGCTCTCGCAGTCCGTGAGTTCGAGTCCCGCATCGGCCTCTGTGCTGACAGCTCAGAGCCCGGAGCCTGCTTCGGATCCTCTCTCTCCGTCCCTCTCTGCCCCTCCCCTACTCATGCTCTGTCTCTCTGTCTCTCTTTCTCTCTGTCTCTCTGTCTCTCTCTCAAAAGTAAATGAACACTAAAAAAAATAATAATACAAAGTTGGATATCATCTTACAAAACAAATTTCTCTGTAACATTAATAACCAATATTCTATTTTGATTTCCAAAATCAAAATGTGATATCAATGGATTTAGAAGTAACACTATCCTGACTACAATTTTGAAAATTAAAGGTGCTAGCCAACATATCCTTTATTTAGCAATTAATGATAATCACAAGTTCAATTTAATCATGAAGAAAGCAATCTGTCCTCATAAAATCAAAATACTATCTTGGCCATGAGTTTTGATTCACATTTTAAATATAGATTTTCCAGTATATAGGCATTATCACTTGCCCAAAAAAATAATCTAAGCTAGCTAAACTACTAAATATAAAAATGTGAGGGGCATCTGGGTGGCTCAGTTGGTTAAGCATCTGACTTTAGCTCAGGTCATGATCTCACAGTTTGTGGGTTCAAGCCCTGCACTGGGCTCTGTGCTGCCAGCTCAGAGCCTGGACCCTGCTTTGGATTCTGTGTCTCCCTCTCTCTCTGCCTCTCACCATCTCTCTCTCAAAAATGAATAATATTAAAAAATTAAAATATATATGTATATAAATGTGAAATATATTAAAACAATGTATGTAGATAGAAAATTTAAGAAGCACTGAACTTGTACTTGAAGAGGTTGTTTATTTTTGTTTTGTTCTGTTTTGAATGTATACAATCTAATAGCCCACTTGGGTGGTTTTGGAGTCGGCTCTAGTTCCTCTAGCTAGAAATCTGGCTTTGCGGCACCTACTGAGATCTTGACCAGGAACACACGGAGATGCTGTGGAAGGTAGGATGGAGGATAAGATATTGCCGAGAGTGTCATGTTTCTTCCACCTGGAATGGTAATCGCTGGGTTCTGCATTTAGAAATGCATCTATACAGATATCCTCAGCCATACATACTTTAACAGTATGAATCTTAGTCATATCAGCTCTCTCCTTACAGTTGACATTGGCATAACAAAGGCAATAAAATTTGTTGGAAAATTCCTGCAGGTCTTCAAGTGTGGGTTTCCCATGTACTGTGTAGTTTCCACTTTTCTCAAGTTGAATAGTAAAACTGACTGGGTTCAGGTGAAGATAGTCGCTTGAATTCCAATTTTTCCTTGCACACACTCCTCGCTCCTGGCAAAGCACTTGGTTACACATTTTGGCTGCTAGCGTGACATTGATTAAGTAAGGATTCAACGTATTCTTCATGTAACTGTCAAGCTCTGTGCAAGATTGCTGTAAAATTATAAGAAGGTTAGAATATCAAGGGACAAGTTAGCTCAGATGTGGATTAATTCACTGTGTAAGCAGTTTCTAAGGAAACATGATAAAACAAGACCCAGCAAGAGGTAGGAAATAGTTTATCTTTTTTACCCTCTCGAGTGAGATTATGCCAACTGTTTTTGTAAGTTTGTAGGTAAGTTTCACGTGCCATTTCATGTCGCTGAATAACTGACCAGTCGAACCTTAACTTTAACCTAGCCTTGGACTTCTTCAATAATTCAGAAACTAATGGGGCAGGATGGCAGAGCAAGTGGTCAGAAAATGGTCTCTGAGGCCCCTCTTCCCTGACTGGTGACAGTTCTATTAATGACTAGCTATATGACCTCGGGACTCTCTCAAACTTTCTAAGTCTTAGTTGCCTATCAATTAACAAGTCAATTAACCTGGCTATGCTTCAGCTTCATCATTTGTAAAATAAGGATAATTATAGCAGGTACCTCATATGGTTGTTGTGAAGATGGAAACATACAATGTATATAAAAGTGCTTAGCATGAGGCCCAGTATATGTCATTGGTTAGCCCTGAATAAATTATAAATAAATATAATAAGATCCATATTTGTGGGACAAGTTTAAACAGAATGAGAAAGAGAGGTTTCTCAACTGCTAACTCAAAACAACTAAACAGGTTCAACTGAGTATACTTTATATTAAATGTTACGGGTGAATTATGACAGCTCTTTTACAAATATACGTATTTGTCAGAGCACGCGTGATGAGTAATGAACATGATTCATCTCCAGACTGGTGCGTTCTAAAACTGGGACACTGTCTTTTTAAAAACACAGAAGATAGTCACTTTCTTTCATGATCCGCAGTTTCATCGAGTGAGCTGGCTATGCCAGTCCCCAGCAGACCAAAGAAGTGGTGGTGGTAGGTCAGAAGGCGAGTCGAAGAATCTTGGCAGCTTCCATTTGATCTATTTCTTGTTATCTTCCTTGAGATGATGCCATAGATGGTAGGAAGAATAGGGTCTTCCAAAAATGTCTATACCCTATTGCCCTGGATGCTGTGATTATTACCATACATGACAAAAGGAACATTACAGATGTGACTCACAGATAAGCGTATGAACCTTGAGGGGCACCTGGGTGGCTCAGTAGGTTAGGTGTCCAGCTTTGGCTTAGGTCATGATCTCACTGTTTGTGAGTTCAAGCCCCTTGTGAGCTCTCTGTTGTCAGCACAGAGCCCACTTTGGATCCTCTGTCTCCCTCTTTCTTTGCTCCTCCCCTGCTCATGTGGTCACTCTCTCTCTCCTTCTCTCTCTCTCTCTCTCTCTCTCTCTCAAAAATAAATAAACATTAAGAAAAAAAAGAGGGACACATGGGTGGCTCAGTCGGTTGGGCAGCCGACTTCGGCTCAGGTCATGATCTCGCGGTCCGTGAGTTCGGGTCCTGCGTCAGGCTCTGTGCTGACAGCACAGAGCCTGGAGCCTGTTTCAGATTCTGGGTCTCCCTCTCTCTGACCCTCCCCCGTTCATGCTCTGTCTCAAAAATAAATAAACGTTAAAAAAAATTTTTTTTAAAAAAAGAAAAGAAAAAAAAGAGTATGGACCTCAAGATGGAGAGATTATCCCGAGTTATCTGGATGGGCTCAATCTAATCAATGAGTCCTTAAAAATGTAGAAAATTTTCCAGTGGGGATTAAAAAAATGAGATGGAAGAAAGAGAACAAATTCCAAGGTAAAGGAGACTCAACCCAGCATTGCTGGCTTTGCAGATAGAGGACAGGGTCAAGAGCTAAAGAATGTAGTGCCCTCTAGAAACTGGAAATGACCCTTAGCCATAGCCAGCCAGAAATAGACATCTCCTTGCTGCAACCATGAGGAAATGAATTCTACCAACAGCCCCAATGAGCAAGTGAGGCTCCTCCCCTAGAAAGGAATGCAACCCTACGAACATTTTGATTTTAGCCCCTTCAGATCCATGCTGGACTTTTGACCTATAGAACTGTAGCATAATAATTCTCTCTTGTTTAAACCAAGTGTGTTGTCACTATTATGGCAGCAATAGAAAACTTCTTCTTAATCCTAGTTTTGCATGGTGTTTAGAATAAAATTCAACTTCTTCCAACTTATATACAGCCTGATGTGAGGTAACCCTTCCTTCCTCTTGAGCGCCCCTCCCTTACCCACTCTGCCTTAGGCATACTAGTTGTTTCATAAGCATGGCAAATTCGTTTCAAACTGCACTTACTTGTCACCCCTGCTTGGAGTGCTCTTTCCTCTAATGTTTAGCACGGTCACTTAATCTTGTCAATCAGACTGCAGCTTTAATTGAAACTCAGACACCTTTCCTATCTACTTACATCTATTTTAATTCTGCATAGTACTTATCACATCAAATATTTGTCTTGTTTGTGTATGGTTTCTATCCCTCCAACTTTAATATAAGCTCCATGATTGCAGACACTTTGTCAAAATTCTTCAACACTGTATCCCCAGGGCCAAGATATAGGAGAATTTACAGAGTTCAGAAAATGGTCTGGGTGACCACAGAGACCAGAGCTGGGCAAAAAGAGGAGTGAAGGATGAGAACGGTTTGAGAATCATTCGTGCACACAAGATGTAGTCTTTGGAAGGATCTAAAACTGGCTTTCTAAAAGATAGGACCTGGTTTTTAGAGTTTGTCAATATCCATGGTGCAAACACATATACCATGGCCAATTTTAAGCTATCAACCTGAAATCACTGAGTGAAGAATTGGGAATCAAGCATACAGAATGGATGTATGGTGAGGAGAAGCACACTGGTACATACCTTTTCTGCTTATACAGATGCAACAGATGTACATAACCTCAACAGGATGGATGATAATAAAGTGAAGTACGTAACTGATACATTTTGAGTATTTGTTACTTTTGTTTTTAATGTAATTAATTTCATTCTAAGTCTTTATAATTTAATTTTTAATAATGATTGTGTTTAACAATCAGTTCACAAAATTTCTGAATATTTAACAATCAGGTCTCATGAGCTGAGACCAGTAGGAGCTGCCTGGCACACCACTAGATCTAACAAAATAGAATAGAAGGAAATAGTTTGCTTACATCGAATAACAATCGTTTTAAGTCACTTTTAGTCATTAAACCTGCAATTACCAGTTTCTCCAGTTGCCAGTGAATCAGAGGAAATAAGACAAGTAATCCATGATTCTGTTGTTTACAAATGGCATAGAAAAAAAGCGGAAGTAATGATAGAACTAACATTCAGAATCATTCAAAATAATCATAAATTGGGGAAAATAGCAGAAATACATAAAACAAAGTCCACAGGGGATAATTTCAAGGCAGTGTCATTAGGTAAAAATAACCATATTTAAGTTGAAGGACTGTCCCTGTATGACTAAAACTGAAGATGATCTGACAGTCATGTAGAACAATGTAAATCTAATATTAAAGTGCAATAAAAAAAAAAACAGGGGTGACAATTAAATAGTATGTCACACCATACTAATAATTGGGGAATGCCTGATTCATTCCTCATCAGATTAAGGGTGGAGTTCTCAGTTCTTAAAAAAAAAAAAAAATGGAAGTAGTATGGAGAATTTATAAGTGATTCCATCATAGAATTAATAAGATCCTTGAGAAAAGAGTTTAAAGGTTTCAGAAACAGTGACTGAAAATTACAATATATTCAGGAAAATTATAATTTTTAAATAATTTTCTGACATGAACTATTTGCAAAAGGGACATATACCTTTCTCCAAACTTATATTTTATGTTATTTCTCTTTATGGGTGATCAAGTCAGAGATAACAGAGTTCTACCACGTAGGTAGAAGGGCTCAGATTACCTTGAAAGATTCTCATAAAGGTGACTACTATCGAGTACTTTTATAAATGAAGTAACAATATAACAAGTCTATCTGAAGGACAAAAAGTCAAAAGGTCTCTTCTGGTCTTAGAGTGCCGTATAAAGTCTCTTCTCTGTAGATCCTAGGAGAAGACCCTGGGCCGTGAACTTCTTGAGATGTTCTCCCTGGCACCTACATGGCTAGTATTTCCACATCTGTTAGAGAAGAAAAAGTTCAGCTCCAATTCAGCAGTATCCAGGCGACAGCTTTACTCTTGTTTTGACTCAAGAGGATTGAAGAGGTGGGGGAGAAAGACCTGCTACAGAGAATTAAACGAAGTTGAAAATAAAGGAAGCAGGAAAAGGATTAGGTGATGACAGTTAAAGGCTTTTTGAACTAAAGAAATGCATTAGGAGAAAATGAATACAATTCATCTATAGTGAACAAAAATAGACATGTTTTTCCTAATGGAAGAAGTTTTACTCAGAATTTTACCTAAAATAGACGATACTAAATATAACCTGTGGAAAATAAGACTTCCTTTTCCTCTCCCTTAGAGGAGTTTTGAACAATTTGGTAATATTTCTAAAAAGTAATTCCCAATTGCCTATGCACCCTCTTGCCACTCCCGGCTCTTTCCTCCCTGCCCAACCCCCACCAAACCATTCTTACTAAAGTCTTTCCCATCTCAGAGGCAACTCCTTCAAGCCAAAAGCCTGAGAGTCATCTTAACCACTTCTCTTATCTATCCTTGTCACGTGATCCCTCAGTCAATCCTCTCTGTTCTACTATTAGGTTATATTTAAAACACATGCCAGCACCTGTGGTGCAAGCCATCAACAACCTGTTCTCCCTTCTCCCTCTCCTGCCCCGCTACCATCAATCTTCAACTCAGCTAAGTAATAAATGTTTGCCAGAGATTGCAACTCTTCTGCTCAAACCTCCTAGTGGCCTTCCATCTCAGAGTAAAAGCCACATGGTGGCCTAGGAAGCCCTATATCCAACGCTCTGCCTCTCACTTGACCACACCTCTTACCTCTGTCTTCCTTGCTCACTGCACTCCAGTCACACTGACCTCCTGGATCTTCCTTGGCAAGCACATTCCAGCCTGAAGGTTATTGCACTTACCACCCCCAGGCATCCAGAGACTTGGTCCCTGA